GGGTTGGAGCTCCATCAGCCTGGAGTCCCTTCCAACCTTGGCCATTCTGTGATTCTATGATCTGTGACCATCTGGTAGACTAGGCAAAGGCTGTTGATGCAGTCTATCTACCCAGACTTCAGCAAAGCCTTTGGCACCGTCTCCCACTGCATTCTGCTGCAGAAGCTGGCAGCCCGTGCCTTGGGAACTCTTGGCTGGATAAGGAACCGGCTGGAGGGCTGAGCCCAGAGGTGGTGGTGAATGGAGGTAAATGCAGCTGGCCAGCAGTGGTGTCCCTCAGGGGTCGGCGTTCCTCTCTAACATCGTTATTGGTGACCTGGATGAGGGCGCTGAGTGCAAGTTTGCAGGTGACACCAAGTTGGCTGGAAGCATGGATCTGCCTGGGGGCGGTGAGGCCCTGCACAGGGATCTGGATAGGCTGGAATGCTGGGCTGAACCAACGGGATGAGGTTCAATGAGGCCAAAAGCCGGGTCCTGCACTTTGGCCACAACAACCCCATGCAGCGCTACAGGCTTGGGGCAGAGGAAATGGAGCTGGAAGTGTTGACTGATGCTGAACGTGAGCCAGCACTGTGCCCGGCTGGCCAAGAAGGCCAATGGCATCCTGGCTTGCATCAGAAACAGCAGGAACATGGAGGTGATTGTCCCCTGTACTCAGCACTGTGTCCAGTTTTGGGCCCCTCGCTGCAAGACAGACAATGAGGCCCTGAAAAGTGTTCAGAGAAGGGCGACAAGGCTGGTGGGGGGTCTGGAGCACAACGGGGTCTTGTGAGGAGCTGGGGTTGTTCAGCCTGGAGAAGGGGAGGCTCGGGGGAGACCTGATTGCTCTCTGTGATTGCCTGAAGGGAGGCTGTAGTGAGCCGGGGGTCGGCCTCTGCTCTCGTGTAGCAGTGATAGGACTGGAGGGAATGGGCTTTGGATGTGCTGGGGAGGTTCAGGCTGGACGTTAGGAAATAGTGCTTCTCTGCAGGAGAGGTCAGGCAGTGGAATGGGCTGCCAGGGAGCGATGGAGTCACTGAGCTTGGAGTGTTCAAGGAACATCTGGATTTCGTGTTGAGGGACAAGGATTAGTGAGAATATTGGTGACGGGTGGACGGTTGGACTGGGTGCATTTCAAAGGCCATTTCCAACCTCGGTGATTCTGTGGTTCCTCTGCTCTGGGATGGCTGGGAGCGAGCGGTGCAGACGCAGCCAACCCTCCTCACCCCCACGCTGCCCGTCCCCTCCCAGCCAGACCCCCACCCCATCAATAACCAAAGGCCCACCTCCGTCCCTGCGCACGTACCGGCGTAGAAGTGGTAGAAGGGCCACCAGACAGCACTGTTGGGGATGTAGGTCAGCAGCGAGGCCACGTAGCCGCGGTAGAAACCCTTCAACCCGTCGGCCTTGAAGATCTGCACGATGATGTCCTTGGTTTGCCCAAACACCACCACCCGCCGTGCGTCGCGGCCGCGCACCGTGAACCTGCCCATGCTTTCACCCTTCCTCTGCATCATCAGGTGCTGGGAAACGACATCGATGGGCACCGTGATGCTCTGAGCCACCAGCGAGGCCGAGCCGCCGGCCACCAGCGACTTGACGGCGTTGTTGTTGTTATACCGCGCCACGTATTTGCGCGTCAGCTCGTAGGTGGTGACGTAGCACTGCCCCGAGATGAGGGTGAAGGTGTTGACCAGGAAGCCGCGGTACAGCCCGGCCGCCCCCTCCGTCCTCAGGATCTTCACAAAGGCGTCGAAGGTCCCGTTGTAAAGGCTCTTCCCCTTCTGCACCTGCAGCCTGGTGCGGATCAGCGTGAAGGGATAAACGCTGACGCGGATCATCATGGTCATGCAGATGCCCAGCACGTAGAAGCGCCGCTTGTCCAGGTGCTCCCACTCGATGATGGGGATGTTGCGTTTGTCCTCCATGCCGGGCGCTCCCTGCAAGGCGCTCCTGCCTGGTGGGGCACACACGGACCTGGGGGGCAGAAGTGGGGGTCACACACAGACCTGGAGGTTCAGCAGAGCGCTGAGCACCTCTGTACAAAGACGGGCTGAGGGAGCTGGAGAAGAGAAGGCTGGGGGCGACCTCACTGCAGCTTCAGTACTTAAAAAGCAATTGCCAGCAGGAGGGGAATTGACTTTTTCCTCAGGTAGAGAGCGATGGGACGGGGGAGAATGGATTTCAGGTGAAGGAGGGGAGGTTTGGCTGGGATGTCGGGGGAAGCTCTGCAGAGAGAGGCTGTGGGGCCCCGTCCATCCCTGCAGGCGTTCAGGTGGGATGGGGCCCTGGGCAAGCTGGGCTGGCAGCAGATCTGGAGCTCGGTGGCCCTGCCTGGGGCAGGGGATGGAGCTCAGCGATCCTTGGGCTCCCTTCCAACCCAAGCTGTTCTGTGATTCTGTGTTTGTAGGATATCTGGCACCGTCCAACCTCCTTCGCTTCCTGCTGCCCCACTTCTCACACATTCCCACATCCCCCTGTGTGCCAACCCCTCACTGGGGACAACGTGTGCTGCCAGACCGGGGGCTCCCGCTTTGCATACCGATGTGGTGGCTGGGAGACGGTGGGCGGCAGGGAGAGCTGGGCCAGGAGAACCACGAGAGCTGGGCCTGCTGTGCGCTGCTGCTGCCCGGAGGGATTGATAGCGATAGGATGCAGGCAGCTGGTTTTAAACCAAGATGGGAGATTTCGGTTTGGTGTCAGGAAGTTCCTCACTCAGAAGGTGGTGACACACTGGAACAGGCTGTCCAGAAAGGCTGTGGATGCCCCATCACTGGAGGCATTCAGGCCAGGCTGGACGAGGCTCTGGGCAGCCCGCTCTGCTGCTCGGCGGCCCTGCACACAGCGGGGATGAAACGCGGTGACCCCGAGGGACCTTTTCAGCGCTCGGCGGGCCTCCCTTCAGCACGCAGCGGTGGGCTCGCACCGCCCCGCGGCCGCTCCGGAAGCCGAGCAGCGCCGTGCCCGACGCGAGCGGTGCAGACGCGGCCCCACGGCGCGGAGCCCTCCCGCCTCCCCGTTCCGCCGGCCGCGCGGGGCGGGCAAACATGTGAAGCGCTCCGGACGCGGCGACAGCGTGCCAACAACGCCGGCCTAGCTCAAGGTCGGCGGCGGAGCGGAGTTCGGCCCACCCCGGCTGCGTCGCTCCCGCCCCGCCCCTCCTCCCCGTCCCCGCAGCCCTTCGCTCCGTCCCCGCACGCACCGCCGTTCCGCCCCGTCCCGCCGCTCGGCCCTCCTCTCCCCTCCCCGCGCGGCCCGAGCCCCCGCCTCTCCCCGCCTCTCCCCGCCTCTCCGCGCTCACCTCAGGCCTGGAGCCGGCGGCCCGGCCCGGCCCGCCGCCCCATGGCCGCCGCTTCCGCCCCCACTTAGCGCCTGCCGGAAGTGAGCGGCGGCGGCGGCGGCAGCGCGTCGGGCCCGGCGAACCGTTCGAACAATCAGCGCCCGCACGACGGCGCCATCTTGGGGAAGGGCTGAGGCCGCGCCGGATGTAGCCATCACGTGCTTCCGGCCGCAGCAAAAAGGGCCGCTGTCCGCGGCGCTCTGGAATGGCGCGGGGGGACAGAGTGCGCATGCGTCTGCCGCGGCCCAGCCTTAAAGGCGCAGCGCCGAATCGAGGTCCTTAAAGGGAAAGTGTCAAATAAATGTTCTTGAAGGGAAAGTGCCAAATGATGGTCCTTAAAGGGAAAGAGTCAAATAATGGCTCTTAAAGGGGCTGCCCCAAATCAAGGTCCTCAAAGGAAAAATGCCTAATGAAGCCTCTTAAAGGGGTAGCATCAAATAAGGGCCTTTGAAGGGGCAGCACCAAACAAAGACCCTTCAAGGCTTGGTGCCAAATAAAGACCCTCAAAGGCACAGTGCCAAATAAAGGCTCTTAAAGGGCCGGTAACCCAAAGAGGAGCCTGCGCCACGTCCCCATCCCCACATCCCACCCATCTCCCTGCCCACCACCCCCTGCTGTGCCCCTTCCCCATCCTCACGTCTGCCCCACCTTCCACTGTGAGCTCAAACATTATGGGCAAACACTGCATTAAATTCACCAAAACCATACAAAAAAACCCCCAACCCCCCAGTCCTCAGCCCCACAACCCAGGATCCCCCACCAGCTGTTGCTGTCCATGCACCATGGACATGGGTCCACCTACAGACAGCACACCCAGCCCAGCCCAGCACAGCACTGCACTGCACTGCAGTAGGGTTGGCACTGCTATGGGGCGAGCACAGCACTGCAGTGGGGTTGGCAATGCTATGGGGTGACTGCAGCCATCCCGGAGCACCGCTGTCCCTCAGACCCCACACGACAGCAGCTGTGGTGCAAACATTTCCCTTTCCCCATCCCATGGGAACGGTGGGAGCTCCTGCGGGGGGTTGTGGGGTGAAGGACCTCAGAAGCCATGGGGTGGTGGCAGAGCGAAGGATGGGGGCTGGGTTTGGGACCTGCAGTGCTGAGGGGACGCCGCGCAGCTCCAGCACACATCCAAAAATTCCTCCAACATGTCACACTGCTGTGTATATAAAAAGAGATACAAAAACCAGGGCTGGCAGGGCTGCACAACTGCAACGCTGACAGGTAGGGCAGCTCCACGCACCTCCGCCCCACAGCAGCACCAGCCCCCAGCCCAAAACCCCGGTGGGAAACCCCTCTGGGTCTGTGCCGCCGCTGTGAGGGGATGCAGCTCCTGGCTTTCGGTGCTCAGAGGGAGCTGGGATGGATCCCAGCCTCCTGCAGAGCTCAGACCTGTGGGCACACGGCAGCCCAGGGGAGGAGATGCGTCTGGCTGCTGCGCTGCCAGGCTCCTGCTCCAGCCCCAAAATCCTGCACTGACAACCCAAAACCTTGCATCTGAAGCCCAAAACCCAGCCGCCACAAGCTGGCACCCTGATCCCAAACCTTCCACCCGGGCTTCAAAACCTTGCTTCAGAAGCCCAAAACCTGGCACCTTGCACCCACTCCGTGAATCTCTGAGCACCCAAAATCCTGCACCTAAAAACCCCAAACCCTTGCATCTGGAGATCTTGTTTTAGATGGAAGGCTTTGCGGGCTGGTGATTCTATGAACTCTTCATTTCTCAGTGCTTTACGTGATGCTATGATGTGGAATCCTGAAAATAAGAATCGTAAAACCATGATGGGAGGGGGTGGTTGGGGTGAAGGTTTAATTACGGTGGGGTTTGTTGGGGGGTGGGTGGGTTATCAGGACAGAGGGGGTTATTAGAGGGCGTTTCATTGGGGTAGGGGCTCTTGAGGTGCAGTTGGCTGCCACCTGTTGAGCACAATACGATACTGGGATCTTTATGAATGGATGTTTAAGGTTAGGGCTACCATGATCCTGCCCTTTTCACACTCTCATTCTCTGGAGGTCTAATCACAATAGAGATTGGAGGACTGGCTGCGCAGAGCGGTTAGAACAGAGATATGCCACTTCCGCGTTTCCGTACGCATGCGTCATGCCGCCTGGAGGACCAAATAACAGAAAGATTGGAGGACCGGCGGCGCAGAGCGGAAAAAAGAAAGAGACTCATTTTTCCTGCTTTCCGCACATGCGCAGTACGCTCGGAGGATCTACTACCATAGAGACGGGAGGCTCAGAGCATGGACAATACGCACTTCCGCTATTTGGCCACGTGGAGGCAGCAGAGACCGAGTGCGGCCGCAGCTCCTTTTTTTTTTTTTTTTTTTTTTCATTCATATTTCAGGTGATGAAATCAGCGTTGGAAGAGGGGAAAATAATAATAATAATAATAATGATAATGGATGGGGAGCGCGGTGTAAAGGCTGCAAGCGCAACAAATGCCCCTGAGCAACAGCAGCTCCGCTTCCTCCGGCCTCCTCCCTCCCCTTCGTTATTTAATTGCTTTAATTGCCTGTGTGAGTGATCAGACGGATGGGTGACCCTTAAAATAATACAAAGCAGCAACAGCAAAAAAGGCATGAGAGAGAATTCTGTATATACATATATATATATATACACACTTACATACATGTGTGTAAGGGAGAGACCAGGATCTGGGCTGTGTGTGAAGCATCTCAGAGCCGATCTGCACGCAGGAGCGTTTGCAGGAGCCCCAGGGGAAGCTGCCACGTGCAGCCAGTGGGCACAGGCAGCAGAGACCCTCCGTGGGTCACTGGAACAGGCTGCCAGGGAGGTGCTGGAGTCTATGGGTCCCAACATGTCTCTATGGTCCCAATGGGTCCCAACATGTCTCTATGGTCCCACTGTTCACTGCAGCAGGCTGCCCATGGAGGTGGTGGAGTCTCCTGCTCTGCAGATGTTCCAGACCTGCCTGGATGCCGAGCTGCGCGACCTGCTGTAGGAACGGCTTGGGCAGGGGGTTGGACTGCATGAGCTCTGCAGCTCCCTTCCAACCCCTGTGATTCTGTGTGATTCTGTGTCTCTATGGGTCTCAACGTGTCTCTATGGGAATTCATTCCCATTCATTGCCCCGTGCAGAAGGGTGCTGGGTGCTGGATACCCAAAGCCTCCCCCTATTGCTTTGAGGCCAATGTGCAAACCAGCAGAGCTGGGAAGATGCAGGAACAGCCCACCCTGAGCTCAGGACACCCCAGCAAAATGCTGTGGCTGCTCTGGAGGAGGAGCTCAGCTTGGCTGGCCTTGTTGGGGCTGCACAGTGCAGCTCCTGCTGGGACAGCGTGGGTTTCATGCGCTGAGGAATGATGCTGCTGTTCCCTCCCGACGGCGACAGCTTCCCTGTGGGAGAGAAGGGGAGAAAATACGTATATCTAAAAGCACAAACCAAAGCAGGGAGGAAATAAAGAGAGGAGTGTTTGCCGACTGTGCTGCGCCTTGTTGGTGTTTGTTGTGTTTCTGCCATTGCTTTGGCAGCCCCAGGGGAAGACATGCCAGGCTGCAGCGCTGTGGGGACTGGTGCTGTGCTGAGTGAGGTGGCCCTGGTGGGGCTCAGCTGCTCCCCTGTAGAGAATGGTGCTTCTCTGCACCTTGGGCTGTGCTTTCCTTCCAGCTCCAAGCCAGGAAAAGGTGCTTTGTGGGTCTGGCTGGCTCTGGTTGCATTTAGGGGAAGCAGTGAGTGGTGGCTGCTCCCCAGGGTTGTAGGTGGGCTCATCCCCTCCTTTCTGTCCTCACGGGTGGATGGAGGGAGGATGCAGCTCACCGGGGAGCAGAACCAGCCCCCAGGGGGCACCGAGGCACGGCAATGTGCTGCAGTCACATTGCTTCCCACCCCCAGCAGCTCCCGCTCCCCTCTGCTTTGCAGGTGGAGGTGGTCGCTGCCTGCAGTGTGTGGCTGTGGTGACGTCCCCATCCACATTCAGAGCTGTGCCAGGAGCCCTGCAGCATCCCCGGGGCACAGCAGTCGAGGGTGGGTGAAGGCTTTGCCCTTTGGAGGCCAGGAACAGCTCTAGAGATGCACATTAACCCACAGCACAGAAGGTGCAGAGCCGCAAAGCCTGGAGCATCGCTCAAGCCGTGGACTGGGGGTGGTGGGGGAAGGTTTGGGGGGGGGTCTGTTGTGTTGGATTCTGCTTTGTGCAGGAGCTGTGCATGCAGGAAGGTTGCAGCCCCTCTCTGGTGTGAGGTGCCGAGTTAATGATTTGATTTCATCACCGCCTCTCTGAACGGCACAGGTTTGAAGCCGGAGCAAAGTGGCAGCTTTCAGTGCGGTGAGAAGTCCTGCCCCCGTTGCTGGAAGTTGACTCATTCTCCTCCTGGCCCCTGGGGTCACTGCTGGATT